ATACATGGCTACAACTGGGTTTCCAAAGATAGAAATAGATTTGGGGTGGTGTTGGTTTCTACATTAGAAATACAATAAATTATTGTCTTAGACCAGACCTAAATGATGATCTTGAAATTTTAACAATTGAAATTATTAAAAACAATGTTAAGCCATTTCTAATTACCATATGGTACAGACCGCCAAGCGATTCAATCAGCACTCTATATAAATTTGAGAGTTGTTTAAAATTAATTGATAACGAAGACAAAGAAAGTATTATCTTAGGGGATGTTAATTGTGATCTCCTAGACAACAATCCCACGTCACTAGTATCAGAATTGAAATTTATTACAAATCTATATCAATACGAACAATTGATAAAAGAGCCTACTAGGGTTACAAAAGATACTTCATCCCTTATAGATAATTTTTATACAACAAACACCAACCACATTATTTCTAGTGGTGTGACGGCTATTACTATCAGTGATCACTATTTGATCTACGGCATTCGTAAATTTAAAACTTTTAAACAGTCTCCACGGTTTATTGAATACCGGGATTTTAAACACTTCAATGAACAAGAGTTTATGTGTAATCTAACATCGTTATCAAATTTTAATCTCATCCATTCTGATCCTAATAACTCTTGGACGATTTGGAAAAACAAATTCCTAGAGATTGTAAATATACATGCCCTGCCTAAAAGACGTAAAGTATCCAGTAAACAAATACCGTTGTTAACGAATGATCTTATTTTAAAAAGCGGGAAAAGACACATTTAAGAGGCAATCCGTGTAAAAACCGACCACTCGAATTTCTTAAGATTACAGAATTCCTTCAAACTTTCTGTGTGGAAGAAGTCATTCATAAAATGAACAAAAAACGTTGACTTTGAAATTGTAGTCAGTTTTAAAATTTTTTTCGCAATTATTTTCGGACGCGTTCGAAAACAAGTTAAAACGTTTAAAATTACGCAAGTGATATTTGGGCTTTTTTATATCTCACAGTTCACCTCGCGCTTTTATTTTAACTTCTTGAAACTTGTAAATTTTATTATTTCCTGCCTAGGCATAAACCTAAACTAAAAATTATCCTGATCACTTTATTAAGCAAACAAAATATTGTGTATTTTTAAAAACGTCTTTCAGACAGCGGATTAAATATTCGTGTTAGTATGCTGGCAGTAAATTTTTTTTCTCAAAAGTGCAACTCTATCAGGTATCCAATATTGCAGCTACTGAGTATTATGACACATCTACTAGAATAAATAATAAAATCTTTGGGCAGTGTGTTTTTCGCCTGACACGCGCGTCATGAATATAGTCAATTCTCGTTAATTCCTCTAATTATAAGCTATAATTTCTTTCTGTATTTAGGGGCGGACCATTAAAAATCCCGGGGGGGGGGGATAAAATTTTTGCAGCACGAATTTTTTTTTCAGTCTCATGTCTCTCCAGGACTTTTCACCCCCCCCCCCCTCCCGGGATTTCTAATGGTCCGCCCCTTATTTGAAATTTTCGCGCTAACAACATACAAAACTGTTTGTTTACTGTTTCAAATATGGCTGTTTTTTGGATAGAGAGTAAATTATAAATATGCCAGCAATTATATATGCTTAGTGAAATTTTGCGTTTATGGGTATCATTAAATACTACATGCATGGTATATATAAACAAAAATGTATAAGAAAAGTGCGGGAAAGGATATTTGTGTGTCAATTAGGAATGCCTTGAAGGAGCATTTTTATCTCATCATAGGCATAGGCATATACAGTAGTGCACATTTATTTTGCCACTATAAAATGAAACTAATATTATTTTGTACATGTTTAATATTTTCATGTTTTTTAAGAACTGCAATTACATGCTGATCTCGGTTAAGGTCCTGTCACACTATTGCATAGGGCCATTACGGAAAATTTTGCACCAATAAACAGCTGGATGGTTCGAGGGATGCTTCCCCGATTTTTAAATAGACACCTTACGATTTAGGACGGCAACGCGACGGCAACGGCTACAAATACAATAAATAATTAAAAAGATTTCAATAATTGCAATATATGAAAATTTAGACATTGTCCTCTCTTTGTTTGCAACCTTATTTACGCCAAATCACAGATTTTCACGTCTTGATACAACTGCTGCTTTTCAAGCCGCAACAAGTGCAACTTCAAACTGGCTTCAGCAGAACTCTTCCCAAACATAAAACCCATGTCTTCAACTTCTAAGACTGTATTAAATTCATACGATTGCTAATATACCACGAATTGTCTTTACTACCATTCTTTTGAACGGTCAGTATAATCTGCAGACTGCAGACCCAGGCCCGGAGCTACGGGGGGGTGTGGGGGGTGTGACACCCCCCCAGTAATTGTATTCAGTCGGCAGGACTGCTATTCAGTCGGTAGGACTGCTATTCAGTCGGTAGAACTGCTATTTGGGTTAAATATTTTTGGCGCAAAGGGCAAGAACGTGCTGGGAATTTTAGGAAAATTTTGAGGAAAAATGTAAAAATTTTGGAAAAATTTTAAAAAATGTTGAAAATTTGCTATGTGCGAAAATTTTTTGAATGCTCCGGAAAAATTTTGTACGTCCGGAAAAAATTTTTTGGACCCCTAAAATGGTACACTGACCGAAATTTTTTGGCGACGGGGGGGTGGAGGGGGAGGTCGACAAAAAAATTTTGTTCCGGAAAATTTTATTTTGAACCAGTCGGTTGAATTGAATTACACCCCCCCTGAAAAATTTCCTGAGGACGGCCCTGTGCAGACCAAGTACAAAATGCAGAATAGGTATAAATTGCAGACTGAAATTGCAGACTTGGTATAAAATGCAGACTGCGAAAGAACGTATATTTTAATATGTCATACTGTCAGGAAGTTCAGATTATTTACAACTAATTCGAGTGTTACGGTTCATTGTCGATGCATGTATAAGCTTTGTATGCTTTATATAAAAAGGTTAAGAATGATTTTCAAGATATTTTAGTGAAAATTATTGCAAAATTTAAATTAAGCACAACAAAATTATAATATTACTGTATGCAAGTCTATAGTCTGGCGTAAGCGGGTTTAATACACATTTAAATTCGAGGATAAATTGTTCTTTCTCAAACTTAAAAGATATTCTCTACACACAAATTTATTTTTGTGATGGTTGTTGTTTCTTTTAGTTTGTGTATCTACAGTAGATAGTATGGGGCGCCAAGTGTAAATTTATTATTTAGTTCAAAAACGGGTGAACTTTTCCGTTATTTATAAATAATGGAATAGAGATGACATTATTTATATATAATAACTTTTAGAGATTTACATTATTTATATATAATGAAAGTTGTAAAACAATTATTTATATATAATAACTTTAGGAGATCTGTATTATTTATATATAATGAAAGTTTTAATGCTATTATTTATAAATAATAAAAGTTGTAAAACAATTGTTTATATATAATAACTTTAGAAGATCTGTATTATTTATATATAATGAAAGTTTTAATGCTATTATTTATAAATAATAAAAGTTGTAAAACAATTGTTTATATATAATAACTTTAGGAGATCTGTATTATTTATATATAATGAAAGTTTTAATGCTATTATTTATAAATAATAAAAGTTGTAAAACAATTATTTATATACAAGTTGGTTTCTTAGAGTACTGATTATTTATAATAATGTGCTGTTTCGTCTCTTATTATTTACATATAAATAAGTTGACAAATCTATTAGTTATATATATATAACAAAGCTAAGTACAGTTTAGCAGTTATTTATAAATAAGTATTGCATTGCTCGCTTACAAGCATTATTTACATATAATGGAAATTTCGCGTATCATAAATTTACACCTTCACGCGCCAAGTGTAAATTTATTATTGGCGGGAAAAATGCGTGGTTACCAAGGCTGAAAGCGCTCCTTATTAAAATATGGCCGCCGATCGCGAAGCTTTTTCGAAGACCATTTCAGAAGCCGTTTCTAGAGCAGTTACCGACGCATTGACTGCAACATTATCGCCGGTAAGTATAGATAATATTCCGCCCTCTTTGCCTTTTGAATTTTCTATGAATAATGAACAGTGATTAACCGAATGTTTGTATTTTATAAATCTCAATAGCAACTGCCTCGTGTTGACTCACACAAAGGTGGGCTGGCCATTGATAAAGCCAAAACTAGGAAGATCTCTGAACCTGGAAAAAATCTTCGCCCCCCCCTCCCCTACGCTTCTGTACATCCAAATTTTATTTTAAAAAGATTTAAAACCATAATCACCTGTTCCCTTATCCGACTACTGCTTACAGTCCCAGAAGTGCCAGCGAAAGAAAGAGTTTGCCGGGCTTGGGAGATAGCAGCTGGTGAGTCAATACGAGGCAGTTGCTATTGAGATTTATAAAATACAAACATTCGGTTATACACTGTTCTTTATTCATAGAAAATTCAAAAGGCAAAAAGGGCGAAATATTATCTATACTTACCGGCGATAATGTTGCAGTCAATGCGTCGGTAACTGCTCTAGAAACGGCTTCTGAAATCGTCTTCGAAAGAGCTTCGCGATCGGCGGCCATATTTTAATAAGGAGCGCTTTCAGCCTTGGTAACCACGCATTTTTCCCGCAATAATAAATTTACACTTGGCGCGTGAAGGTGTAAATTTATGATACGCGAAATTTCCATTATATGTATTAAATAATGCTTGTAAGCGAGCAATGCAATACTTATTTATAAATAACTACTAAACTGTACTTAGCTTTGCTATATATATACGGTATAACTAATAGATTTGTCAACTTATTTATATGTAAATAATAAGAGACGAAACAGCACATTATTTATAAATAATTACTCTAAGAAACCAACTTGTATATAAATAATTGTTTTACAACTTTTATTATTTATAAATAATAGCATTAAAACTTTCATTATATATAAATAATACAGATCTCCTAAAGTTATTATATATAAATAATTGTTTTACAACTTTCATTATATATAAATAATGTAAATCCATAAAAGTTATTATATATAAATAATGTCATCTTTATTCCATTATTTATAAAATACGGAAACGTTCACCTGTTTTTCAACTAAATAATAAATTTCCACTTGGCGCCCCATACTACAGAGCAGGAATTTTTTCCTGTGCCTACATGCCGATATTAGTTCGTTTCTTGAGTTCAATGAGCTTAGTTCGGGATAGTAAATTATAACGAACTTTTCGTGCAGGCATAATTTACAACGTTTTGTTTTGTTTGAGTAGGCCTTACATTTCTTTAAAATTTTCCAACGAATAGAGTATTCTATGTTGAACTGTTTCAACTGCCAAATATATTTACTCAGTTCAGTTGAATGTTTATGATCCGGGTTCCTGAACGAGCTGGTATGGTTGTAGTATCTCACTTTAAATGGGCCCGCTGTGTGTCCAACGTAGGTTTCTTTCTGTTGGTTGTCTTTTCTCGTTACTGTGGCTTGGTATACAACGCTTTCGGTTAAACATTTGCCAGGGAGGGGGCAGGATTCTTCCTGACGGCAATTACACTTCCTATCGGAATTTTTAGTAGCCTCGGGCTGCTTGCGATCGAGTACAGTTCTGTTGTGCGCCGTGATGATATTGTGCACGTTGGGCATACAGCTGTAGCTTAACTTAAGATTGTTCCTATTGAACAGTTTATGTAAGGGATGGTGTGGTGGGAAGCATTCATCAATAGCCTGCAGAAATGTGTGACCAATGTCGGTGGCAACGTTGGCGCTGTAGTGAGGATTAAACCATATCACGTTTCTGCTTCTATTACGTTTAGGCTTTGGTGGCTGGGGATTGTAATTAAGGACGTAGTTAAAACCACTCTTTCGCAGGGCTTCCTGATATGGAGGCGCGGCCGACTGGAAGGATTGCTTATCTGAGGATATGTTTGATAGCCTCTTGTTAATAGCATCTGGTATGCTGCGTAGTATTGTAGGCGGGTGGTTGCTGTTGTGATTGACATATAGCGGTGTATTTCCGGGTTTCATATATGGCTTGTAAGATGACGATCTGAGATCAAGTGTAATGTCTAGATAGTTCACGCATTTTTTGTTGGCTTCGATGGTTATTTTTAAGTTGTTGTCACTGAAAACTTTGCAAATGCTTTTCTTAATGGTCTCGATTTCACGCGGTGTTTTGTCAAAGGCTGCGAGGCCGTCATCTCTGTACAGACCGATATCATTGCCGTACTCTGCCGTTAGTTGTGAAAGAAGATACGATCCCACTAACTCGCATGTCTCAGCCCCGTCAAAACTGCCCATGGTTACATCGAAAAGTGAATCGGCTGGTGTTTTCTTTCGCCAAGTTGTATTCCTGTTGAAGAGCAGCGATTGCTTAGCTTTCATGATGATGGCTTTCTCATTTTCGGTTATTTCGTCGTATTGTGAGGCGAGTGATTCTTTCAGGAGCTCTTCTGATATAGACGGATAGAAATCTACTATATCGAAGCTGATAAACGAGCGGGTAGATTATATATATATATATATATATATATATATATATATATATATATATATATATATATATATATATATATATATATATATATATATATATATATATATATATATATATATATATATATATATATATATATATATATATTGGAAACTGTAGGGAGCCTCCTTAAGAGTCGATAGCGAATGTCGGCGAATCTCTTCTTGGCCTGGGAGTCTCATAAATCATGAATCTTGATTCATGAGTGCGAGCCTCCCATCTCCTAGCAAATTTGCTTTTTTGATGCCACTAAAGATGAAAATTTCAATTGTCACGTGACGTTAAATTTTAATCGTACATACATGATGGGATTTACAGCATGCCAACAATAAGCGATAGAGATTGATGGAAACAGATAATCCAAAAAACATTTCTTTTTTACAGGACGAAGAAAAAGTAGAGTATATTTTGAAGCATACCTACCTGATAACAGCACAGTATCGTCATATCCTTGTGGATGAAGCCCAAGATCTCCCCGGCAATTGGCTTTCATTGCTGTATGCAATGTTAGAAGAATGTGAGGAATCTAACATGTGGATCTTCGAAGACCCGTTTCAGGTGGTAAGGAGAAACACAACAAGACAAGAGAATGGAAATTTTACCAAGTATTCTTTAACAAAGGTGTTTAGGAATACACATAACGTCTTTGAAGCATATCAACACTGCTACAGAAGTTTGCGCGAGCAAGTTACCGCGACCGAAGAATCATTCTCTGAGGAGGAATTGTCTCAACCATGTATAGATCATGATGTTTATGGTTTATCTCCTGACTACATCCGCGGAGAAAATGATGATCAACTCGGAGATGCATTAGTCTCTACAATTAAAGTATTGCTAAGTAAGAGGGTTCCATTCTCTGATGTTGCTGTCGTAACATGTAGCACCGAGGTAAACCACGTCTGTAAAGTCTTAGAGAATGAAAATATCATGTGGAAAGATGCGGACGGACGACGCACTTCTTCTAAACAAAATAAAGATAATCACCCTCCAGTCATCGTTGATTCTTATCAGCGTTTCAAAGGACTTGAAGTTAAAGTCTTAATATTTTTTATACCAAGTGGCTGGGAACCACGACCCATGGACATCTATGTTGGGTTTTCCCGATCATTTTGTCACCTTGTTGTAATTGGAAACAGCAGAATGATCAACAAAATCAAGCAAGACCAAGGTGATTGAATACAGTAAAACGTTTTACTCATTTTTTAGAACCACTGAGTATTTTAATAAAATACAAAACAAGTGAAACTCCAAAAATCGATAACATTTTTATTTATCTACGTTTCGACTATATTTCAGTCATCATCAGGATAAACTTATCCTGATGATGACTGAAATATAGTCGAAACGTAGATAAATAAAAATGTTATCGATTTTTGGAGTTTCACTTGTTTTGTGTTTTACTCATCATTTTACAGTTTTACATATTACTCATTATTGAACAATATGAACTATTAACGGAAGACTAACAGTTATACTATACAGTATTTTATGGACGAAGTCCTTTTAATCCTTGGGCCTGCACGCGGGGTATTTTAAAAATTACTCAAATTTTACATGTTTTGGGGGTACCCTACCCTGGGTTCAGAGGTTTTCTAGTGTCAGGCGAGAGGTTTCCAAGCTTAGCCAGCACCGCCTGAGTGTATAGGCTACAGCTTCGGCGAAACAGGAAACCCCCTGATCCCCAGGGTAGGGGTACCCCCACCCCATCGCCACTTTGAATGGACATGACCAGGGCATCTCACTCAATAGAACTAAATGTTTGAAGGTTTTACGAGTGTAATTTTGTCTACATTTCAAACCTGGCCAGAAGTATAGCTGCGAAAAACTATTGAAATTATGGGCCCGAATTGAATCTGCGGTACAGGGGTACTTTTTTGAATTGGCTGTATATGCAAAACCAGAATGAAATACTTAGTTGTCATAATTTAATGCTTTAGAATTACTTTATCTTTTTAATTGTTTTTCAGTCGCATTCACGAGGGCTACTTTAACTTGGCAAGTACTTTTATTATAATTACATTCTGTAATTCAATATTTTACTTTAAGAGCCGCGGTGTCCTTATTCCTTAAATTTTGAGGCCGTGACACGCCAATAACGTCTTTGATCCTGATTCCTGGTTTAAGTTTTCCAAATATTTAGAAGTGCTATAACATTTTGAGTTATTCGGTCTACTTGTGGGTCTATAGTATCTTATATACACTAGATAGCGCATCTCTTTTAGTAAAATTGAAGCCAAGAATATTCCAACGGTTACCCCCATTTGAATAGATGGCGTCCATGTTGGTCGTTCCCACTTAGTAATAAACGCTTAAAAACCAGAATAACTTTCATCATTCGAATAGTTTAAAAATGTATTTGGAATAGGGTTAACTTAATGTTTAAGTTCCCTGATTAAAAAATAGAAAACATACGAATCTTCTCATTTCATGGGAACGACCTGAGACTGCAATCATGGCTTCAAATTTTGAATTGTAGAATAATTAGATGCACTATCTAGTGTATATAAAATATCTATGGTCTACATATCTGTATATCGGCCTTTAGACTATGTGCCCACGGCAGGAACCGCGGAGGCTGTTTAAAAAGGGGCAGGATAGCACGGGAGCTATTTCACGCAGGCAGGCTGGATTTTATGCGGTAATTTTTTACTATCCACCGAAAAAGGGGGGGCTCCCCCTGTTCCGCGGTCCCTGCACGGTAACGTTTTCGAGCGTTTTCAGCTGTAACGTTTTCAAAAAGTGTCGTTTTCAAGCCGTGTCCACACGAAAACGGATGAAAACGACGTCTTATGACGAAAACGTTTTCAATTCAAAAAAAGTTTTCGGACAAGCGCTTTCGCGTTAAAACGCTAAAAATGCAAGATGGTGGTTTAAAATCAAAATATTGTTTTCTTTTTTCTTGGAAGATTAGATCTTTCATTGGTATCATTAGGGAGCTTAAGCATGTAGGACGGCAACACGACGACGACGGTAACCAATACAATGAGTCAAGCCTGGTTGACATATATGCCTGCGACGTACCGGCGACGATGCCGATGGTAGCTTAAAACGTAAATTATGTGAACATTTGTTCGCCGATTGCCTCCAGTGCCACAGTTACATCGGCGGTAGGCCGGGAAAGTTGATTTGAGTTCAACTTTGCCGGTATTTCGGCGGTAAGTAGAGGCATAACGATACAGCGCAGGCATACCGCAGGCATATGTGAACCAGGCTTCAATAAAAATAAATAAATAATTAAAGTCCCAGGGGAGTTTCAGACGTGGTCGTCATTCTGTTTACAACGGCAAATCACAGATTTTCACGTCTTTTTCTACGCCTGCATTTCAAGCCATAACAAGTGCAATTTAAAATTCGGTCAGTAGAACTCTTCCCAAACATAGAGCCAATGTTTTCAACTTCTTATACTGTATTAAATTCATACGAATTATAATATACGACAAGTTTTCTTTACTATCATTTATTTGAAGGAATTTGTTTTGGCCATCGTCGCCGTGTTGCCGTCCTACATGCTTAAGCTCGCTATTGTCGTGGTTTAGAGGTGGTGGTGAAAATGCGTCACATCACCAACAAGCTGATCAACGCATTTTCACCACTACCTCTAAACCACGACATCGCTCCTGACGACAACAACATTGAAAACGAGAATACGCATCCAAAACCGCCCACAATCTGGATTCCGTTCATTGGCAAGAGAGGAACTTCCCTTATACGCTCGTGTACAAACCTGAAATATCCCGACTATTGATAGCCCGTCCCAATTTTATTACGATCTATGACACGACTAGTACCAACACCTATCTGAGCCTAAAAGACCGAACGGATAAAGAACTCCAAAGTAGTGTTGTATACAAATTTAGCTGTCCTGGCTGTCAATTGTCCTACATCGGAAAAACTGACCGCTGCCTCAGAACAAGGATTAAAGGGTATTGGCAACAAAAATTGCTTCATCTATCTTATTGCTTCATCTGAAAGAGCATGAAAAAATAAGCCGATTGGCCGTTTAATGCTCTATTCTATCTCATCTAGTTCCGAAGTTATACGCAAAAATGTGAAAATATAAATTGCTGATTCAGCACAACGTGTGACGTCATTAGCTGGGCAAGTATGTTTATTGAATACTACACTGAAGCATAGCTCAGTTATTATGGGCCCAAATCAAATGAAATTTTGCATACTGATTGTACATGATGAGACGCATGGAAAAACACTTCTAATTTTGTTGCCAAGGTAACAATGTCGTTTCCAGGCCCCTTGCGCCAATTTTATGAAACAGCTTTATTCAAGGTACTGATAAGAATAAAATAATATCAGAAGTATGTGTATGATACCTATGCATGCCAAAAGTTTACTTGCATTATAATAATTCGAAAATGACATACACATAGACAAATGCAACTAGTTATTCAAAATCAGTGTAAGAAGCCTGGGAACGACTGTGTTGCCTTGACAACGAAATTAGAAGTATTTTTCCCGAGTGTATCTAAAAGTCGAGAGTCGAGAGTAAAGGTCGAGAGTCGAGAGTAAAAAGTCGAGAGTAAAAAGTCGAGAGTCGAGAGTAAAAAGTCGAGAGTCGGCAAATGTCATCAGAAACAACAAAGTCAAAATACTTTTACAGTAACACAATATATAAGCGATCCGTAACAACGGCTGATTATAGCCGTACGGGCGGGG